TTATTATTATTATTATTATTATTATTATTATTATTATTATTATTATTTTTGGGGGGGGGGGGGTTGATTTTGGTTTTGGGATCTTGTGTAACCTATAAACTTCTAGATGCTTTTAAGGAAACTACCTGCTGCGTTACACATTTTCTTAATATCATGCATGGTAGAGATAGGCGATTTTAGTAAGAAACAATTCAGAAATTTAATAAATTTTCAGATTATGGTTGCTTTGAATTTTTAATTCACTCTATGTATTAGGCATTGGCTTGATATCCGTTTCATCTTAATATGTTTGGAACTCTTTTCTATAAACTGTGTAAACCCACATTTGACACGTTCTGAGACTGTCAACTGATTTGTGTCTAATTTCAAAACACCTTAGAGATAGACAATTGGACTACGAGGCACTTCGGACCTTTAATGTATATTGCTTTGAATTTTTTGATTCACTGCATTCTATGTATCAGCCTATTAGGCGTTGGCTTGATGTCTATTTCATCTTAATTTGTTTTGAACTCTTTTCTATATTCTATGTAAAACCCACATTTAACACGTGTTTTGAGACTGTTCAATGTTGTGTTTAATTTCAATTTTGTAGGAAGAGTTAGTCCAGAAAGTGTGACGTACAGCTTTGGCACTCTTCTGCTTGACCTTCTCAGTGGAAAACACATTCCTCCAAGCCACGTAAGTCTGTTGGTGCTAAGTTTGATCATGCAAGATGATTTTGAAGTAGATGACGTGCCGGCTAATCACATTGTAATCTGTATGATAACTGAGACGGAAAAACTAGTTTAGATATAGTTCCCAAAAGATATTAGTTTCAATGCACTGAGACACAAAGTAATTCTTGAGAACTTTATTTTTCATACTTGAGACTGTTATCACCTGAATTTAGCTTTAAGGTGCTTCCATCTGTTTAAGCAGGGTAACCACCAATTATTTGTTACCCTTTTTACAACTAACCTTCTGCTTGAACTCATTGTCCAACACATATTTCAGTTTCCTAATCATATAATTTCCTCTAGAAAAAAAACTTGTACCCTGGCCTGTTAATGCCACATATCAATGTACTGACAGAGTTTGAATATAGCAGTGCACCCTCGTGCACTTGGTGCATATTTGGCAACCACTATTAGATCGTACAGTTCTTTAAACAAAATTTTAACTTATTTTTCTTATTCAATATCATCAAGTACAGGCTAATCTGTGCTCCCAAACATGGCAATAACGTCCTCTATCTGCTTCCCTTCCTATCTGTATGTGGCAGAAGAAATTATGGTTTATACTTAAAACAATTGAATTAGATACTGGTTTATTTAAAATGCAACTCATGTATCCTTTCTACAAATGACAAACGTCGTGTTCAGATGCCAATTGTAGATTCCAAGTGTGTTATTAATTACTTTTTGAATGAAGTAAATTGATTAGAACTTGAGGGAGATAACTTTGCTCCTCATTGATTTATCAAAACCAAGCGTTCTTTCTCCCTCTTTTCTTGTAATAAGATATGAAGGCATGTTAACCTTCAGTTCTTCAGAGATAGATGGGGAAGCCCGTCCCCCTGTTAATTAAGTAATTTGAACTAGCTATTACAAAAGAGTTAAATAACTTCAAAATGTAGGCACCTTGAATATGTACTTTACCACAGTATATACTCTCTTTTTCATGTCTGATAATCTGCCTTTGCATTGAATCATGACAGATCTGTTGGATTGAAAATGATTGTTATCTATGAATTTGATATACTAGTTTCCTTTAGCTCTTTTATTCGTGTTTGTGTTTTAGCATTTCTTTCTTTTAATTTCTCAGCTTTGCGGTGTATTTGTATGTTAATTATGTAAGAACATGCTGTTGGCGTCTAATATTCTTTTCAATTTGTTTCAGGCCCTTGATTTGATAAAGGATCGGAACCTTCAGATGCTAACTGATTCTTGCTTGGAAGGTCAATTTTCGAATGATGATGGAACTGAGTTAGTACGTCTAGCGTCAAGGTGTTTGCAATATGAACCTCGTGAGAGACCAAATCCAAAATCATTAGTTGCTGCTTTAATTCCTCTTCAGAAGGAAAATGAGGTTGGTTTTCTATCTGAACATGTAGCTTTTTAGCCGCCGTTTGATCTTCAACCATACATTCTTTCAATAAAATAATTTTGCACGTGGACCCATAACTTTTCCCTACACAGATTCTCCACAATCACTTTTGGCAAAATATATTCTCAAAATACTGTGCATCAAATAGGCTCTCAGATTTGAATTGTTACTTAACATTTATTCATTTGCTTTTGTACAATTTTTTTAAATCCTGTCTGCAGAATTTACATTCTTAACTTGAAAAATCTTGATTGTTACATAGGATTCTAATTTCTAGGACTGTGTTGAAAATGACTACCGCACCAAAAAGCAACATGCCTCGTCTAGTTTTTGTTTCATTGTATTCCCAGTTGCTCCACATTTGTTATGGAGATCCACTACGAATTAGTTTCTCTAAAAGCAATATCCATAAATAATTTTTTTAGGCTGTTGGTCATAAGGGGTGATACACTTACAACCATATCTATTCAGATCATCTATTCAGATTAGTATAAGCAAGATTATATAATTCAAACAGTATTTATCGGGATATTTTGTTTGGATAAAATAGATGTGAGAACAATTCTTGAGAGGTAATCCTTTGACTTTGAAACCCCAGTTCAAGATCAATTTAACTGTCGATTATTTGCCTATCTTAAATTAAGGAATATCCTAATGTTAGTTTCAGTACCAAAAGCTTGTTCGACTAAATCTAATATTTGGCAATTGCTTGCAATTATTGATATAGTTTTAGTAGTTAGCGTTGTCATAGACATAGTTCTCAAGATACAAGACAGCAGTTAGTGGAGTGTTTCCACAGGATTATTAGCTAAATGGCAGTTGGCACATACAATATGCCCAGTCGCTCCTCGTGGATTTTCATAACCCTGTTGTGCAAAATGGGATATGCACTTGAAATGGATGTCCGAGTTATGATATAACAAAGAAGATGATTGTTGAATATTGTACATATAATTTGTCAGTGACTATTTCTGTATGCACATGTATTCTTCTATGTCCATATGAATGTCATAGTTCCATGTATCGAAAATTGGAAAGTAAAATACATTCTCTATGATTGAATAAGGGTCACTTTCATTTTTGTTAATTCTATGTAGACTGGTGTAGTATATTAAGTTGTATTGACCACATTTCATCTTGCAGGTTCCTTCCCATGTATTGATGGGCATTCCTCATGGTAGTGAGGTTATGTCTCTATCTGCACTTGGTGAAGCATGCTTTAGGATGGATTTGACTGCCATGCATGAGATTTTAGAAAAACTTGGGTACAAAGATGACGAGGGAGCGGCAACAGAGGTTTGTTTATGCTTAAAAGCCATTTTTCCACTTCTGAAAGAACCATTATCTCCCCCCCTCCCCCCTCTCTCGCTCATACACACGCGCATGCACACACTAATTATACACCCATCACATGGTCATTTGTAGATGCCAGTTGCTAAAATGCATTTTATATTGTACGAGTAATACTGGTGTGTTTCAACAAGAATGTGCTATATGGTCTTCCTCAAATTGATTTTTACCGTTTGCAGCTTTCATTCCAGATGTGGACAAATCAAATGCAGGAAACTTTGAACTCCAAGAAAAAGGGTGACGTAGCTTTCCGGCATAAAGAATTTGGGGGTGCGATTGATTGTTACACGCGGGTAAGGAAAAAATTACCTGCACGCAAATTAATCCATACTCACTTTTGAAGAATGAACCCGATAAAATAATGAAAATCATTGTTGATCTCATTGAAGACTTTGATTTCTTCCACCATTGTCCTCTCAACTCTTGTACGCTTGATAATTTTCAATTCTAATAATTAACATTCTCATATATATATGTTACTGCAGTTTATTGACGTTGGTACAATGGTCTCCCCAACTGTTTTTGCACGCCGTAGTTTGTCGTACCTCATGAGCGATAATGCGCAAGAAGCTCTCAATGATGCAGTGCAAGCACAAGTCATTTCTCCTGTTTGGCATATAGCGTCTTACTTGCAAGCTGCGTCTCTTTTTGCCTTAGGGAAGGAGAACGAGGCGCAAATTGCGCTTAGAGAGGGTGCGATACTTGAAGAAAAGAGGACTGCAGCTTCTTGATATTGAAGAACTTCGTTTGGCTACTGCTGGATACAGCCATAAAGCACAAGCTTTTCTTGGTTGATTAATGACTCCGAAACTCTATGAGGAGCGACGTACATACATTCTGTTGTCCTCGGAATGATGCGTAATAGTTTTGTTTTCTTGAAGGATTCTTTTTGCAGCATAAGTTGGGGGAGGACAGTGACACCTTTTTCAATAGCACAATCCAAGGAATACTTTGAGAGGCATTGGAAGGGGTTTATATATTGATAAAGGATTGAGTTTCAAAGTGGATGAAGAGATTTGATATTGTAATTTATGTACAGTGATGTTATGTGGCTTGCTCCCAACATCTGTGATTGGCTGTCTCTGTCATTTCTATTTTGTGGGTTAGGAAGTTGTTTAGAATTGGTTCGAGTCTCTGAAATTCATTATTTTATATTGGATTAAGCTTGAGCATTTTGAGAATTGAATCTCGCATGGCATGTTTTACATCTGCTACTTTTGTTCTCTATAGATAGAGAGGAGAATCGCATCTCGAATATCCAGTCCAAGTGTATATAAGTTGTGATTGCATCCGGATTTACTTGGTTGGCGAACTAGGGAGAAGCCTATCACTCCTCAGGATTAGTGGGGCAAAGTTCGGATACTTGAGTGATTAAAAAAAAAATGGTACAATTACCGTTTAATAATTTCATCCTATTTTTATATTTAATTATGTAAGTGAGACAAGTGAAATTGTTGTCAAATAAAAATTTAAGTGAAGGACTTCTAAGAACAGAAACGAAAGCAAAATTTTCAATTCAATTCTAATAGTCTTCTTTACCATCAATGCTTAATTGTAGGAAGAATTCTCCTCGACTTAACCTGAAACTAGGCTGAAAAAGGTACAGGGACAGTTCCTCAAACCACTCTTGCACAGGGGTTGTTGGCTGAGATCAGCTCAGAGCGACATGGTGTCAAGCATATGTTGATTGATCACTTTAAGAAGGACCATGGAATGAAAGTTGGATCTACCATGAGATTTGCTATTGAGGACTTGGTTTTTAAACTCTTTGGAGAGGGACCTTCTGTGAGTAAGACTCCTACGCAGACGCCTTCATCTAGTCCTTCTATCACAGCTCCTACACACAATAAGGTGAAAGAACATATACAGAGAGACATGGATGACATGGGCCTTGGAAACTGCATGCAAAATGCGGAAGACGATGTCCCTACAGCAAGCAGGTCAATCTCCCACGATTCAAATGTCGTAGCACAGAACACCATGAGATTAGACGCACCTATGACTAGTACAATGAGATCAGATGCACCTGCTTTTCGCCCGACATTCAGTGCACCACCATCTGAACAGTACTTATCAACAAAGCAGGCTCCTACACGCAGGCGAGACCCCTCTCCAACGAGCTAGCCAGACATCGCAGACTACTATGATCCGAAAATGTTTCAAACCAGACGCATGACTCGATCAATGTCTATGTACTACCACCCAAAGATTTACCCTCGGGAATACCCTTGAGTCCCTTTCATTAGTTTTTGTTCGTGTCTTGTTTACTTTGATTGCATTTTATCTTCAAATATTTGTTACAATTTACACTTGCTGGAGGTCAGGTCCATGCCCCCCTCCTCTATTTGTTTTCCCACTTTTCATTATATAAAATAAACCACACTAGTGGTATTTGCTTTTAAAAAAAAAAAAAAAAAGCTTAATTGTAGGAAGAATTTTCCTCGACTTAACCTGAAACTAGGCTGAAAAAGGTGACGTCGATATGGTAATTATATGATAAATAGTTGGATTATTAAATTAATTTCAAGCAACCATTTTTGGCTCATTATTTTGAACTCGTAGTCTAATGATTTGTTCAGTTTGAAAGATAAATTATATGTTTTTCATTAATACTTTGACATGGTATCAAAAACTTATCTCGACGATTGAAGAGGAAACTCGAAAATAAGTCGAAAGTGGTGATATCAAAATATGAATTAAAAGATAAAATAAGATTATTTAATCTATTTTCTAACTACCACATTTTGACTCGTTGTTTTGAAAAATTAATTAATTAATTAAATGGAGCAAATGATTCTAAAATTTCGTTGAAGATCACGACGGTATTATTGTTGGTGATATAATGGAAATCAATAACTATATATGATTTCGGATGAAGTTTCGGACACACTACTGTTTGTGATTATCGACAACAATTTCATCAATAACGTCATCGCCGATAGAGTAGTTGTTAGGTCATTGACAAAATTTCCGATATTGACATCATCGGTCATCACCAACCCATGGAAAAGTCATCGGCAATCATCAACTATGCTAGGGTAGCTAATTGTCAATAGGAAATTATTACTGTCACCAGCAGAGCTTCTATGGAATATGGATGCATGTGTCTTTATTAATTGAGAGTAGCTTGTGTAGCTTGATAAGTGTGCTTTTGCACACTTATTTATGTCACAAACATGATTTAATAACGAGCAAAATGATTGAATTGTGACTTAATCTCGTTACATTTATTAATTGTAGGGAACACCGAAAAACATGGTAAAATTCAGGAGAAAAGACGCGAAAATGACTAAAATGACACAAAGTGAAAGTTCAGGGACCAAGGTGCAATTATCCAAAAGTTGACCCGATGAACAAATCGAGAAATTGATTAAGCCAAATGCCAATTAATGATATCTTGGGATGATGGAATGGAAAGAATGAAAAAAAGATGCCAAGAAGTTAAGGATTTAAGTAGAAGGACCAAAATGAACTTCTTCCATAGTTGGTGGCATTATGCGACCGCATAGTGCTACCTGTTCACGAAATAATTCTTTCGATTTAAAACTACCGCAAGTGTACGGTTCGTAACAAATAATAAAGTGAATTTTAAAAAGTCTGAATATCGTCCCTCAAAGATTAAGTAGTTCAATTCTATATAATCTAGCCTTAACCGAATCTAATTGAGTGAAAATATGGTCTAAATGCAAAAAACCCTAATTTCAATTAAAAACCATAATTTCAACTAAAAACCCTAATTTCAATTAGAAACCCTAATTTCTCAATTAGAAACCCTAATTTTAAAATTTCTCTAATTAAATGACTTAAGCACTCAAGTAAATGAAATTATGCAAATTCAAAAGCTAATTTATGGAAATGAATCAAACTAAAGTCACTAGGATCACGAATCCCCAATTGAAGTTATAAAAACCCTAATTTCATAAAATTAATGATTCGATGAAAATTTGCCAATTCAATGCTCTTAAATCTATCCAATATACTCTCTCGATATATATTAGACCTATTCTTGCACACCACCAGCCTATATCTCTATGGATGATGCAAACATACAAGAATGCATGTAGTTTTGTGAACAAGTTAAGAATTGCATAAAGCATAAGTGTATATCTCTATCCTCTATCGGACCCTATGTTAGTTTACACCTTATCGAACCTATTCCACTTCTCTCGAATGTAAGAAATAAGTCATCAACACTTATACAATCATTGGCCACTAATTGCGGAAGAAAATTAATGCATGTAAACCAATCAAATTATCCAAACGAGTCTTTTTATTAAATTCATGAAATATGGAATTAAAATAACAAACAACGGTTCATCGATCACCTAGTAATTGAAAACCTAGCCTAGAAGATTCATAATTATAGAAAAAAACAAAATTAATAAATAGAAAGAATAGCACCTGTATGAAAATTTTTGAAATCTTGAATAAAACCTTGAAAACCCGCTTGAATCCTTGTGAAATCGGCTTCAAGTTCATGTTCCTTGCCTCCAAAAGTTGTATTCTTCTTCTCTCTAGACGTTCTGCCCTATTTCTGATGAATTTTGGCTTTTATATCATGTCCTCATGGAGCCCCGAAAGAGTTTCAATTAAAAACGGAAGTTCAGATTTTTTTTCGAACTTAAAGCCATGCAGCCGCATGGTTCAAATTTTCAGCCCAAAAAATCCCCTGCTAGATCATGTGCGGCCGCAAGGTTGTAACTTTACAACCTTGCCATTTTGGTCCCTAAACTCCGTTTTCTCTTTTCTTAATCTCTTTTCTTTCTTTCCTTTGTTCCATTATCAAATATTGACTCCTAATTGATGTTTGGGTCAATCAATTCCTTGATCATTTGCTCGGCTCATCTTTTGATTAATTGCAATTTAGTCCTTCATCTTTCACTTTTCTTCAATTCAGTCCAATGTTACTTCTTTCTTCCTCCAATCGTCTTGTATGGTCCTCAATCTCATACTTGGTATATTTTCATTCTAATTCTGCACTTTAGCTCAACTTTCCAATAATTGCACATTTGGTCCCCGAACTATCGCTTTGTTCCGTTTTGGTCCTTTTCGGCTCTTTTCTTCTGAATTCCATCTTTTCCATAGAAACACCTACATTGCATGAAGTTAACGAGATTAAGTCACAATTCAACTACTTTGTCCATGTTTAAGTCATATTTGTGAGCTAAATAAGTATGTAAAAACATACTTATCAAATCTCTCAAACTTAAACTATTGTTTGTCCTCAAACAATGTAGTGAATTAATGCTAAACAAACATGACTTAATAGCTTGCCGTGTCTCAGGATTGGACTTAGTAATAATAGAAACAATATCAAGAGTGCGAGATTTGAATCAACCTTTACTCATCAAATGCAATACTCAACGTGTATGTGTGAACTCATGCCAACATATCAAGCTTATGATTAGTTTATCCCAGACCCATAGTGGTCAAATTTATCTTTACGTCACTCAAGAGATACACAACCCCCAAATGTATTCTTTTCACACAATTTCTCCGGGGTGTATTCTAAGGTTAGGAGTTTAAACAATTCTAATCCTTATCCTCTCTTAGTTTGGATAGATTTTACCATTACAAGTTCACATATCAACAAGTAGAGACTCTCCTTATTTTGATTGCTTCAACCTTTAGGATTAAACTAAGCTACTTGCCTCACATTGAGGTTATAGTTCTATCAACCAAATGTCCAACAAGGGCTTTTATTATTATTTTTTTTTTGTGTCATCTTCTCATTTGCTTTCTATATAACCCATGTAACGAGCTTTAGGCGATAACTCCCAAACCAGTTGGCTTTAGGGTACCAGGTTTTAAACCCTTGCAGTCTTATTCACTCGAGTTATAAAGGCTCGATAAGATGACTTTTTATCAATTCTCCTTTTTCTTGCTTTTTATATGACCCATGTAACGAGCTTTAGGCCGATGACTCCCAAACCAGTTGGTATTAGGGCATCAGTTTTTAACCCTTACAGACTTACTTGCTAGAGTCATAAAGGCTTTTTGAGAGAAGTGATAATTTTTCACTTTTTACTTTATGCCCCTTCTTTGTTTTTCTAGACATTTGACTTCTAAAAACATCCTCACTTAAAGCTTTCACCTATTTCTCACCTTCCGGGTTTAAACAATCCACACATTATAATTTCATGCACAGAGCCCCCACTTATCTCCATGTTTTCCTACAATG